TTTTTTTAATACAGCAATTTATAAAGTTAATATATTGTTTTAAATTTTTTCATTACCTATTCAAAATATATATTATTTTTGAATGGTGTGCCATATTTTTAATATGACGCACTATTAATAATTAACTCTTTTTATTATTATTATTAGTGTCTTTGTTATTTTATTTGTATTATAAATGTTTTTAAATCTATGGCTTTTTAAATCTATGGCTAATTTAAAACTATGGCTACTTATACGGCTTACTCAAGAAGAATGACTTGAATTTTTCAACATAAACTTATAAACATATTTTTAGTAACAGCTATTTAAGGTACACTGAAAAAAAAGATGTAAAAATAATAATAGGAGTAGTTTATTTTTCTAAGATATTAACGAGTGTGATAACTCTCATCATTGTTGGAATAACAGCGTATGTAAAAATACGAAAGGAAGTTATGTTTGTTTATGTGAAAATGGATGGCTTTTGGGTAATGATAATGCTAGCTGCATTGGTGAGTTTTTGATAAAATAACTTTATATCAAATTCAGTTTTTACTTATCGAATGGAATGTCATAGTTTTTTCACCTTACTATAATGGTGCCTTTTTCAATTATGTCTCGTTATGATAATGCCTTATTTTAAAGATGTTTTATTTATACATAAATTTTGGCTTACTCACAAACTTTGTTGACACTATTATAACATAGTTTTTTTTTCTTGTTGGTTGATTTTCAAATATTTTATTTAAATCAAGTTTTAATTTTTAATAGTTTATTGAATATTTTAAAATACACTTCATTTATATGCAATAGCTAAATTTTCAGAATCCATTACTAATTTTTACATCAGCAATGCATTTTATTATGCATTAGATTGTTTTTATCAAACTTTTTGAAAACAATATTGGTTTACTATGCTGTAAATTACTACTTATATCTATGATTTATTGTTATGAAGTGTGCAGATGACAAACTTTAAATAGATAGATAAGAAAGTAACTAATTTTTTGTTTTAGTGGGTCAATATTAAAAAAAAAAAAACTTAACTTAAACATTATTTTAAACTATTTTTTTAAAAAGTTTTGCTAGTTGTCAAAGTTTAAGGTTTAAGGATAAAAAATAAAAGTATTTTAATTTAAAGAAATTAAAAATAGTTATTACTTCGACTCATGTCATATTTTCATTATCTGTTTGTGCCAAGGGTGTTCAATAAAAAACATTTATATCGCCCGCAAATAATCCTAGATTTGCCCCTATATTTAGTATACTTGAGCATTAAAATCAACTAGTAAAGTAGAAACTACATTAGAACCTTTTATTCCTCGTCTTTCATTGATACAAAACAATACGTAAGCAAACAGAGTTGAAATTTGACTGTGGCCGGATTTATTTAAATATAGCCGGGGTCAGGGCGGGTTTGTGAGATAAACATTTACTCATCCTAAAGTGATTTTTTTAATCACATTTCATGTAATATTTAATATTTGTATGCATGTATATTTATATGTGAACATCATTATTATGAACATGATGATGTTGATGATGATGATCATCATCATCATTATCATCATCATCATCATCATCATCATCATCATCATCATCATCATCATCATCATCATCATCATCGTAATTATCATCATTTTCCAATGTTGGTTCTGTACCTTGAAAATCTAAAAAATTAGTTTATTATGGCTAAAGTCATGAAAACGCTTATAAAGTTAAGGAGTTTTTAATCAGATATTTAAGGAAAAGTTAGGAATTTTAGAAAGGTTTCTCGTTATACAATAAAACTATTATGTTTTTGTTAGTGTTACCCATTAATTTACTTTGAGAATTAAAAAATACCCTACAGTATTTTAATGAAAGGCGTGGGATTGCACGCCATTATATTACCACGCATGTAATGCTCTTATTTTACTATTTGGTTTTTTAATTTATTTTTAATCGTAACAAAAATGGGTAAAAAGCTGAGACAAAACATTAGAGAAAATAACAGCAAGTTAAAATAAAAAATAAAAAAAGAAAAAAAATTCTAATAAAAATGAAAACAAAATAAATTAGCAAGGATAAGAAACTAAAACTCTTAATTTCATTTTACCTAATATTTAAATTACATTTGAAACAAATATCTTTGAAGCTTTGATATTTCATAATGCATTTATATTATGCAAAACTGTTTTGAATAAAATAAGAAATTGCTTTGTTTATTCCAAATAATTATTTATTTATTAACAAACGCACCTCATTTAAATGATCTATGGTTGTTATTTAATTATTACAGTAATATTTAATTTTTTCATGATCATTCTAATCGTTTCAAATTATTTCTGTAACTTGTTTTATAAACAAAGTCAACTTTAACTTTGAACACTTTTGTATCTTTAAAGCGAAAAACCTTTGGGCTATTTTAAAGCTAAAGAAGTTCCAAAAATATTCGAAAGTTTACAACAAACATTATATACCTAAAAAATTAAAAAAAAATTACAATTTTTAATTACAAAAGTAATATTTGCATTTTATT